GGTAAGAACACTATCAAAATAAAAGTGTGTGCAAAGATAGAGCATATTGGTTCATAGTTGTACATAACTAGAATTTATAAACAATTAAACCACATACACATGTATTGTGCGTTTTCTTTGTAAAAATACAGTTTAAATAGTTACAACTCCACGTACTTACAAATACAAAGTTCAAGTTTACGGCTGTGGTTTGTTCTTTATGAACACACAGAACTACGACCGTTTATGAAGACGAGTTTTTCCTACAAGAATACGAAGTTTTAACTGCGATCTTAAGTCACGGGGTCACAGGCTGGTTAATGGAGCACAGAACACATCGATATTCAAAATGCTTCTCGGTGCCAAGATGACAGCCCGAGAAACAACAGAACAAAGTCTGGTAATTTTAAACAGTTAAACGTTATTGGTTTATCCTATTTATATATATCAATAAAAAAATATAGGATAAAGAAACTTGATTTTTAATGTAGCTTCTTCTCAGGCATGTGACTTTATTTATTTACTGACGGATGCTATCATCCGCCTTTTATCTGTGTTATAGTTTCAAACAGATATTTTCTCAGCCACACAAAGCCCTGGCAGCTGTTTCAGAAGCTCAGTCAGGAGTTTGTCCGTCTGCATCTTCTTCTTCTGCAGGATTTCATTGTTTAAGCCGCGGTGTTCAAAGCGTGTGAAAAAAGTAGCAGCTTATAGCCCAGAAATTATGATGATTTACAACAACAACAAAAATCTTGTGTTAAAGACATAACTAAGAAACTAAGTGAGGTTGAGGTGTCTGATTTTATGCATGTGCTTCAGTAAGAGTACAAAGGTCAGTCAGTGTCTAACATTAACAGGAGGCTGTCCTCCACTTCACTTCCATCTTTTTGTCTGACCTTTCAGCCTACTCATAACTTAACACACACACACACTCACACAACACGGCACGCCCAACACAACCTTTTTACTCCCCTCTACATTATTTAAGTCTCAGTAAAATTCCTCTTCTTTCTCTAAAACATGAGAGAATTTTTGACGATGCAGAGAAGAGTCCGTTATGCGCGACATCTTTCTATTTTTAAATAGAAGTAAGTCCTGGGAGGGGTCTCGTGCACAGCCAGGTTGATCTGACTGAACAAAGGACACGTGCTGGGACTCGTGCACGCACAATTTCACATCTGGATTTTTGGGCCTAAGCTTCTTTTTTTCTTTTCTCCATTTATTCACTCGCTGCGTTTAGTAGAAAACTCAAGCAAGTTTTTGAGCATGAGGCTCATCAGGAAACTAGATTCCTGCTCATTTCTCATTCCAGACTTCTGCAGACTCAGATATTTTAAAGTCTTAGCTGATTTTTGGTCAGATTTTAAAGTCTAACAAAGAAACATTCAGTGGAAATGTACAGAAATGAAGACTGCACTGACATGAAGAACAGGATAGTTGTGTGTTTATTAACTGATTGGAGAAAAGTGCAGAAATAAATCTGTAAAATATGCTACTCAGTTCCTAATGTGTCGACTGAAACGAAAAGTCATCAGTCATGCACAATGGCTGCTGCCTCAGAGGGCATGATGGGTAAACTCAGCAGGAAGAGCAGCACAATGAACATCAAACAGAGCTGCGCTTCATCAGAGTCACGTCGTCTTTTTAAAACAAGCGCTTCTGGGCTCGGTTGTTCTTCCAGGAAACCAATTTAGCTTCTAATCCAACTCAAAGCAGAGCGTTACTCTGCTTCTGTGCAGCTAATAGGAAAACATCTGGATTAGAGGAATAAAATGAATGAGAGTGAATGTTGTTTTTTTTTGTCTCGTTTGTCTCCATGTGTCCCTGTGATGGACTGGAGACCTGTCCAGGGTGTCCCCCGCCTCTCACACAGTGACTGCTGGACATGGGCCCCAGTGACCACAGCGACCCAAAAAGAAGTAAAGATGATGGATGGATGTTCCTGTGGTGGAAAACATCAGGACTTTCAGAAAGAGGAGAGGAATAAAATCCATATTGAGACATCCAGACTGCGTCATAATGTGGTTTTAAGAGGAACCACAATGTGGACACATCTTAAAGCAGGGTCCTTCAACTGGTGGCCCTGGGCTTCAGTCCAGCCCAACGAGCTCATAAAAAAAAGTGTGTGTGTGTGTGTGTGTGGGGGGGGGGGGGTCTGTTTATTGCATTTGATTCAATGCAACAAAACAAACAAATCTAAAAGGTACAGGTCATTGTAATTTATTGTAATTTAGGGGAGTGGTGGGTCAACTCCCTGGACCGACAACATCAAAATGTGGGTGGGATAGATGAAACACCCACACCTGTCTCCACCTTTATTTGCTCCACTCTGGGCCCTTGAGCAAGGTCCTTAACCCCCCAGCTGCTCCCCGGGTGCCTTGGATGGCAGCCCTCTGCTTCACGTGCGCTCACGTGCAATGGGAAAAAATGCAGAAAATGAATTTCTCCATTGAGGATTAATAGAATACAATAATAATAATAAAACAGTTTATTTCCATAATGACTTTAACTTCTGGACGTTCGGCCCCTGAGCTGCTGGCCGTCAGTAACTGTGGCCCCCGGAGCAGTTTAGTTTTACAGCCCTGCACTAAAGTCGAATTTGTAAAAGACGTGGGGACACGATGAGTTCGTGTTTTACAGTAAAATCCCGACACGGCGTGGCTGCGCCGGTCGTTTTCATCTGGACGGCGTGTGGGCGCACTCTTTGGTTTGGATGGGATTAAAGTTGAACATAAAGTTAAGAAACCTGTTTCTAACAGTGCACGCCGCCATTCATGAAGCCCGCTGCTCCCCGAGTGTTTGTTTGCTGCAGTGGTGACAGAGTGGGACAAAAGAACAGACAGAATCTGAGCTCATCTTTTATTTTGCTGCTCCCTGTTCCAACAAACAGCTTCAGTAGTGAACACGTCCGTCTACACACAGGAAACAGGAAGTGATGACAGCGTCACCAGCACCGCGGTCTGGATACAGTACATGGACAACATCTGTCTGCGCCTCAGGCGTTGTCACCGGATCGTCTACGGCTACAGTCATCTTCAAAGCTCTCCAACATTAGCAGCACTCTTCTTCTTAAGAAGCAACGAGAAAAAGAAACTACTCGGGGAGGAAAATGTGAAACAGGAAAATAACAAAACAACAGTTTTCTGCTTTCCTGCTCCATCAATCGGATGTTTTATTGGTTCAAATAAAGCATTCTGTCGTGCAGCCACAACTCTTAAAAATAAAAACAAAAACATCTGAAACTGAACATTTTTATTTACACTGAAACAACAACCGTTCGGTCTGCCGGGAGTTTAATTAAAATGTGAAGAAAACTGGTTCATTGGCTGCAGCTGCATAAAAACCATAAAAAGACTTTCATAAATACTTCTGCCTTAAAGCTTTGTACCTATTTACACGTTCTACGTTCACCGAGGGGGTGGGGGTGGAGAACCCTTGCTGTTGTTGCAGTCAGATGCACGGTGGTCGAGTGAAAGCCCTTTAAGAATAAATATTTCTCTCTCTCCTGAACCTTGGTCTAATGTATAAAAAGCATTTGTAAAATAAAGTGGAGAAAACAAAGTTCTAAAAACAGTGAAAGCTTTTGAAAAGTCCCGCTTGTTGTGCTCACAGTGAAACTTCAGTTATGAAAAAACTAAAAAGTTTTTTGAGTTTCTTTGATTCCAAAACATGAACTTGTTTTGATTTCTTCTTCCTGCTGCGTTTTATTAAAGATGGAAGAAACCTGTTTCACTGAGCTGCTCATGGAAGGAGTTAACTGGAAGTTTATAAATCGATCCACCTTATTCCTGGGGCTCTACTGTAGAAAGGATTCTGGGTACAACTTCCTGTTAGACAGGAAGTAAACATTATGGTAGCGGAGCACGGACCACAGCTTATTTGAAAGTTCAGTTTAGAAGATAAAACACTGTTTTTGTTTTGTTTACATTTATTTAACAACAGTAAAGTTTACTAAAGTAGCCGTGCTGAGTTCAGGTACCTGTTGTGTTCACGGCTGTGTAGATAATAATACACCTCAGAGCTTTTCAGGTTGTTCCATCGCTTTACCGTCAGAAGAACTGAGTCAGTAATGTAGCTAAATATGCTAGTATAAGTAGCTAAATATGCAAGTATAAGTAGCTACATATGCTAGAATAAGTAGCTAAATATGCTAGTATAAGTAGCTAAATATGCAAGTATAAGTAGCTACATATGCTAGAATAAGTAGCTAAATATGCTAGTATAAGTAGCTAAATATGCTAGTAGATGTAGCTAAATATGCTAGTAGATGTAGCTAAATATGCTGGTATAAATAGCTACATATTCTAGTAGATGTAGCTAAATATGCTAGTATAACTAGCTAAATATGCTAGAATAAGTAGCTAAATATGCTAGAATAAGTAGCTAAATATGCTAGTAGATGTAGCTAAATATGCTAGTATAACTAGCTAAATATGCTAGTAGATGTAGCTAAATATGCTAGTAGATGTAATCTGCAGCCACTTTTTAGCAGGCAGCGGTCTGATTATATTTTCCTGTTTGAGCTCTGACAGGTGGTGTTCCGACATGTTTAAATTAAATCCACGATGATCAGAGAAACTACATTAGCTCGTACTGTTCACACAGAAACAAACACCGGAAGTAATAATTCACTCAAGGCAGCGTGGGGGCTAGGAATAAGGTGGATATCCATAATCTGAGTCAGAATATATGTTTTAATGATCAAATTCCTACAATAATGTTTATTCATTGTGTTCCTAGATCCTATCTGAGATGGCCGAACCCACAAAGCTAAATTTTTAAGTTGAAGCTAAAAACAACTCTTTGGCTTGTTGTTTATAAAATGTCAAATTGATTGAAAAGTGAAAACAGGTGAGACTTTGGAGTCAGGAGTTTTACAAAGATTTAAAAACAGAAACTAATTTATTTTTCAAAGATTTGAGGCACAGCGTCTTCAGGAGCCACTCGGGGATTATTTGAAAGTCAAGCTGAATAAAAAAAGTCTCCTTTTGGAGTTTTTTAGCTCCACGTTTGGACTCCTGTCAAGCTGCACAATGGAGACTCAACCAGAGTGATAAAACACAAAGAAATGCATTTTAAATTAAAAATGACTTGTTTGTTGCTTGGACACCTGCTTCTTTAGTTCATTAATGGAGAAAAAGAAACACGACATGGACAAACTACAAAATAACTCCAGGAATTTAAACTACAGGAAGTGAATCTTGGTATAAAACGAACTTCCTGCAGCTGAGAAGCAGCAGTGAGTATGATTGGCTCCTCCCACCACATTAGTAAACAAAAAACTCTAAAAGCTCTTTTCATCTGAATACAAACATTTAGGCTTCAATTCTTCCTCCTTTCAAGCTGCTGGAGTAAAAACATTTTCATAAATTATGAAAGAGATAAAAAATATTAAAAATAGCAAATTTGTCAAACGTCAACAAAAACAAACTAAAGTAAAATTAATACTGGTGTTTGAGGTGTGATGCTTCAGGTCCCGCCCACACCAGCAGGTCAGCAGGGAAACGCTAAAACCAGTTCTTAATGGGGCCCAGCTGGACCCCTGGGCTCCATGTGGACCCCACAGGTTTGTTTAAACGTTAAAAGCACATCTGATCTGTCAAACGAAACAAACAAAAAAAAAGGTTTTGGCAAGAAAAATGGCACTTTGTAGCATCAAGTAAAGAGGATTTTATGTTTGATAAATTATATTATATTTATTTTACACTTTGATTAAAAAGAGCTACACCTCCAAATCAGCCTAAAGATGGTGATTTACTCCTGGTTGTGATTTATTAGACAAATATTTGTTAAAAACAGGAGAACGTCGTGTTGGTGAGAAGCTTCAAACCTCCACCTGAGACCAGAAGGTTGGTTTTTCACAGGCCGGGTGGAGCTGAACACATCTGTGTGCTGTTTACCTCCTGGCTGCTGGTCCGGCTGCTTCTGTTTGAGCTCCAGCACCAGCTGCTGTAAAACATCTGCAGGACACAGGAAGTTCACCCTCCGGTTGTCAGGTGCAGGAAGGGGTCTGATCAGAAGGAGAGAGACGCTCTCCTGCACCTGCTGCGGCGCTCGTGTTGACCGAGAGGATACGTCTGTTCCAGGAAGTGTCCGTGTGAGAGTTCAGGTGCACGTGGGGGCAAAAAGGAGCGGGAGAACGTCTAAAACAAAGTGAACCAGCACTTCTTTCTTTGTGTGAGAAGAGTCAGGATGAAGCTGGATCATCTGGCGAACATCAGGAGTCCTAAAATAAACTTCACTCTCATCTCTCCACTTCAGAATATGATGAAGGCAACCGACTACCCCTTAGGCTGTCTGACCTTTGACCCTCGGGGTGTGTGAGTGGGGAAGGCGCCAGGTTGTGGGGCTTCCTCTCAGTAAGGATCAGCTGTCGAGGAACTCTCCGTGGTGCTGCAGTGATCTTTGGCGGGGCTTTCTTCTTCGGAGCGGGGGTGGTGGTGGGCTTTCTGCTGCGGGTGCTGTTGAAGGCTGCAGAGGTTCTGAGCGTTTCCAGGAGCTGGGAGGCCGACCCGAAGCGGGCGTGCTCCTCCTTCTCAGCTGACGCAGAGAACAGAGACATGGTTCCACCGCGCTTGTTGCACGAGTCACAGCACAGCTTGTTGTAGCCTGGAATGGAACAGTACCGAGACAACACCTCCATCTGGCAGAAGATGGATTTGTCTCCACTGCAGGGCTCGTCTAGAAGGTAGAAGAAACAGAGAGGGTTCAGTTTGTCACTCAAAACATACTGATATGCTGATGATACACAGTTCTATTTGTCCATGAAACCCAGTGAATCCAGACTAGACTACAAGCATGTCTTGAAGACATAAAAACCTGGATGACCCTTAATTTTCTGCTCTTGAACACAGACAAGACTGAGGTTTTAGTTTTTGGATCTGAGCACCTTGATTTTTTTCAGTCTTTCTCCCTCCTTAGATGCATTAATCTGTCCTCCAGCTCTAATGTTAAAAATCTTGATGTTATTCTTGGTCAGTCTTTTATCCCCCACATTAAAAACGTTACTAGAACCTCCTTCTTCCACCTGTGTAATATCACTAACATTAGAAACATCTGATCTAAAAATGATGCAGAAAAACTGGTCCATGCATTTGTCACGTCTAGACTGGACTATTGCAATGGTTTATTATCTGGGTGTCCAAATACTTCTTTAAAACGTCTTCAGTTGATCCAAAATGCTGCTGCCAGAGTCTTAACTGGAGTTACTGGGAGAGATCATGTCTCCAGTTTTAGCTTCTCTCCACAGGCTCCCTGACAAATTCAGAAATGAATTCAAAATCTTACTTCAAACCTACAAAGCTCTCAACAACCTAGCTCCATCTTATTTTACAGATCTTATTGTTCCATCTTTTCCCAACAGAGCACTTTGCTCTCATGCTGCAGGTTTACTTGCGGTTCCTAGAGTTTCCAAAAGCAGAATGGGAGGAAGATCTTTCAGTTATCAGGCTCCTCTCTTGTGGAACCAACTTCCAGTTTCTGTCCGTGAGGCTGACACATTATCCAGTTTTAAGACTTTCCTTTTTGATAAATCCTATAATGAGGTTCAGCTTGGGTTTCCTGAGCTATCCCTTAGTTGTGCTGCTATAGACTCAGACTGCTGGAGGACAAACTGAACACATTTCCTCTCTCTGCTGCTGTCTTTACTTGGTCTACCTGTTTGTATTTGTAATTATTTCTATCTTAACATGTTTTTTGTCTATAGAAAGTACATCTGGACTATAGAAAGTACACCTGGACTATAGAAAGTACATCTGGACTATAGAAAGTACATCTGGACTATAGAAAGTACATCTGGACTATAGAAAGTACACCTGGACTATAGAAAGTACA